AATATGAATAATTAAAAATAAAAAAACTAATATAATATTACTTTTATTAATAATTGTTTGTAACTTCCATTGGGATTATCTTTTCATGATATACTACGACAATTCATTCTCAATATAATAACTGCGATTTAAACGGATTAGATAAACAACCGATTATACGAGTAACCCAAAAGCATGACAAATGAATTGCACTCAGGCTACTTAACAATTATTTCTTCTTTTACGATAAAACCAGATAATGTGAAAAAATTACAAATTGAACGGAACTTTTAGTTGTTTCTGACATCGATAGATAGCGCAGAAATCGATATGAAATTGTAAAATAAATTGTACGTCGATAAATTTATTAAAATCTGACGACGTTATCGACAAGTTAAGCAAAATTTGTCCAAATTTATCTCTTTATTATAAGATGATTAACCTTCGTTGACTTTTCAATATCATTCAGATGTTATTAGAATAATTTTAAATTTGTTTTTAGGGTCTAACATTTATTGAAAAACATTCGAATAAAAAAGTTCATCATTGAAGTTCCGCGCCACAATGACGCACTTGTCATGCGTTCTGCAAGTCGTTGACCAGAGGTTAGGTCCATTGCAATTGTCAGCCATAACATAAACAAATTCTAATGATGTATCGTTGATCGCTACAAGTGGCCAGGGGGGAACGCGGTAAGAATGTTGTCATTTTTACGAAAAATATCAATTGGGGGGAAGATAAGAGATGGTCTGCCGACGGGCGACGAAATGGAGGCTACTGAAGGCTGTTTGGATGTAAAAAGTCGAGCTCTAATCTCGCAATCCGACACAGAGCTCAAGGAATCCGTTTATGGCAAGTGCACATTACAAATTAAACCAAAATCACTCAAATACAACTCATAATAGTCCATTCTTGATTAACTAAATACTCATCATGAACTACCAATGACAATTCGTAATTAAATTTCTGATTCAACAAGTGATTAATAATAGTATGTACATTTAATGAATTCAAACCTTATTAGAGATTATTGAAATAGTTATTAGATACTAAATTGTATAAATTTAAATTTATAAAGTAATCATTTACTGGTCATTTTTATTATGGCTTATGAAGATTAAAATTATCATAGATTTACTGAGAACAATCAAGGACCCTGAGAAGCCACAAACACTGGAGGAACTGGATGTTGTCTATGAAGACTGTGTTGAGATTTCAAGACAAACTCCTAAAGGTGTTTCTGTGATTCGCATTGAATTTAATCCAACAGTCCCTCATTGTTCTCTGGCAACGCTCATTGGTCTTTGTATTAGGGTGAAGCTAGAACGTCAGTTAGTAGCCCTTTTTAAACTTGATATATACATTAAAAAAGGTGCACACTCTACAGAGCAGGAAAGTGAGTATAATAATCCATTGTGTAATATAATCAATTACTTTATTATGTTATATTAATGCTTTCTGTTTTAGTTAACAAACAAATAAATGATAAAGAAAGAATTGCAGCTGCCATGGAGAATCCTAACTTGAGAGAGCTAGTAGAGAAATGTATCCAAGAGGAAGAGTGAAAGCCTAGGATTTTTTTGTAATCCATAGGTCTCATTACATTCGACATTGCTTATTTGCAATGTCTAGGTTATGTTCATGCAGTCATCCTTCATGTAGTGAGAGTTATAATCTGTTACAAATATAAGAACTAAAAATAATTTTGATCAAAGAGGGTATATGGAACTGTAAAAAGCAGTCTGCTAATATAGAAGCAATTGAACACTTCATTCTAGAAAGTCAATGGTGCTATGACTAAATAGCATGTAATACTTTTAACACCACATTTTATACCTGTACCTTAAGTCTCTTATAAAGCAGAAAATGTAGTACAGAAAAATTGTAAATATAGTTTATACGATAAATCTATTCTTAAATTCCATTTTTCCTATTAATTCTTTTTGATAAAATGCCTCTATGATTGGTTTTTATCAATGAAGACTAGTAATTCCAAGTACGTTTTACTAGCGGAAGGGCAATTCCTTTAGGAGAATCAATTACAGCGACGGATTCCACTGCGAGAAAAACGAATTCTAGCTACCAAAGGCTTCGAGGAAGCTCACGCGAGTAACGGGTGAGGGAAGAGACCAGTGAGAGGTGCCGGGACAAGATGAGAATTATCCAGGGCCCCTTTCAGGCCCCCGAAGATGCTCCCCAGACACTCGGGTGGGAAGAATCTGGGTTACTCGAACCAGAAGGGAATGTGGGCCGGCTATATACCGGTTGCCTGCTCGTACACCGCAGTTCATTCTTCTTTCTCGCCGCGATCGACAAGTCGTGGACAAGCTTCCATAGGTCCAGCCAAAAATACACGTAACTCCCATAGAACCTGTAACGAGGGCCACAAAAGAAGTTCCTTCGTATTCTTTCGTGTCTTATTGTCGATTTAACCATCATAGTTTTGACCCGAGGACCCTTGTATACCGGTGAACGTAAACTACGACCCAGAGGAAAATTCTCTAGGTAAGTGCACCCGGAGAAATCGAAAGCGACGACCTCGCCAACGAATAGTCGCCTAGATTGACCCACGGACGTACTCTCTGTGGCTTTCTCTTCAATGACCATCCTACTGAGCGCGGTTTTGACGCGTTCTGACACGTTTTATCACGCGCATCGTGATCGTGTTATACTTTTTCATCGATCATTTGAATCGATAATCGATTTATTACTTGCACTTGCTAATAAAAATTCCTTTGATTTTTTTCATTTTCTTTTTAATAATAAAAATTAATGAAATTAACTGAATTTTGTTAATGCTTTTATGATTACCATTATGTACAAATATTTGTAAACTAATGTTAAAAAAAATGTTGACTGACAAATTTGTATTTCTGAAATTTTCTAATTTAACTAAATATATGTATATCCTTTTTATCCTTTCTCGAAGGCTCATTCACGATTCCGTTCTTTGTTTGGATGGTAAATTAAAGTTTAACCAAAAAATTAGTAGCTCTTTATTTATCGACGTACTTTCAATTACCTTTGCTTAACGACTTACGCTCAATTAGCTAGTTCACCGTTTTTCATACGAAGCCTCTTGAACGTTTTACCAAATTCACACTATGAGAATCGACCCATCGCTTCTCACGCTTTCCATGTTCAGAAATACGAAATTTTAGCGAACTAGTATTAATTGCTAACTTTTCTTTTTTCATACAACAAAATATAGACGATTAACTAGAACAATAATGAAAATGATTTTGCACGTTTTCAACGAACGTCATCTTTTCCGATCTCCCGGTTTCAGGTAAACACGCTTGTTTTGAAGATCGCTCACTTTCTCTCCTATTCGTGAGAGGCGATGAGGTTTATCTTTGCGAAGGTACTTTCCTTGCGTAAGATCGGCACAAGTGTACGCAACGATGCAGCTTGTAGAACACATGAAGTATTACTTCAGCCGGGAATCCAATACACATCTTACGATATATTCTCCACAAAAGGAGGGAAAAAAACGAACCCAGTTTCCATTTGAAAACCGCTTGGCAAATCGAAGAGAAACTCTTCCTCGTTTAACGTGTCACGGTATTCAATCAATTTTATTTACGGTTAACCCTTTCATTCCCACTCATTTCGAATTTTCATGACAATATTTTATATTTATAGAAACAAATAAATTTTATTTCATCCATACTTGAACATCCAAGATCTAATACACCCAAAAAATAGAAACCAATATTTCTTTGCAGTAATATCGATTAACCGTTTAAATTGAAGGTTAGAAAGTGGTCGAACTATGTCACTACTGTATCTAAACTATTTTAGTACACTGATTGTCATTCTAGAAAAGGAAATCTATGGTATTTGAGAGAACGGGTGTCACCAGTGACCCACATGTCGTTAAGCTCACATACACTTACATAAACCTAGCTTCACATACAAATGAAAATACAGTACTACTTTGCTTTCGTTCGACATATAATACACCACTAAATTTCGTACACGAAAACAATACGTGTCAGGAAACCGTTTATGAAGCACTAAAAAAATAGGACGAGAACGAATAACGATCTACGATCGATTTGGATTGGGCGAAAGTCGAAATTGAACCAGCACCAATTTTCTTCTCTCTCGTTCGACTCATCGGCACGCTTCTGTCTCGTTTTTGTAACTTGTTACTCGTTCCGAATATGCGTATGCAGCGGGTTTACCGACGGGCGAGGAGCCGTTAAGAGAGACACGAAGCACACAGCCAACCGCGTAAACCGGACGATATAAAGCCGGCCAGATAACGGTTCCACGAGCACACATGCGGATACGAAATAAAGTCATGAGCTCTTCCACACTTTTCTCGTTCCTTTGTAAACTCTCTTTTAGTCCTACGACTAAAGATAATTAATGTGTATAATATTTAAAATATCTAGGAATACTCAAAAAAATTATGTGAAATTAACGATATAGAAAATGAAATTCTTTTCAAAATGTGTTACCCTATGCTGTAAAATATTTATCTACGGATATTAGGTATTTTAATGGGGAGGAAAGTGCAAAGATGGCGCCAAAAATCGAATGGCGCCACAATTAGAGATTTTCGGATAATCTAACAATATGTTTATTGTAACACGTGAATTCGTGAAAGTATCTCGGTGCTCATAGTTTCTTAATCCCTTTGAACCAGGGTAATAACTGTTATGTAATAAATAAGACAACATTCTGTTGAAAGCCTCATCCGGTTGGTGACCGTACGTTTGAGAAATCCCCTTAACAGTTTCCTTCCGAAGGATCGTCAACACTTTATCTCGAATTGTGATCGATGAAACCATCTAAACAGCGTTTACGACTCGTTTCTTTATCTTAATACTCTAATTGAAGTGCTCGCTCACTTTCACATCTCTTCGATGTTTGTAAAACGACTAGAAGTGGAGAATTAAATCCTGTCTATACCGGTACATTAACAAATGCATCCAAGTAGCGGAACAAATATAGGCTTCGCATGTGTTGCGTCAACTAATAATTAAAATGATCCTACTGTGATTCAATTAATCGAATATTACTTCAACCGACGTGATATTGTGTAAATTACACGGCTCATGATGTATTGAAGTTTCCTTGTCGTAGTTGTCATTCGTTTTACTCACAAAATTCTGTTATTTACTTTATAATTCAATTATTTCTTCCGGGACACGATTAGCATTCCTTCAATCCAGGTGAATGACCGCTGACACTAATTTTTAGCGAAAGCTGTGCCATTAAATGCGGGGGCTTCATTAAGTCTGCAGTGGCGTAGAATTTCAAATAAGAATCATTGTTATTCAACATGATCAATCGGATCCGAATGAGATTAACGCTATGTCGGTTATACATAAGATGGTTCAATTATTTAAATTATGAAATAGCATCGCGTGTTTATAGGAGTAAATAGAATTATATGTAAACATGAAAAAAGCAACTTCCTTTTCGTTAGATTAAAAACTCTGGTCTTAATGATATTAGTAGATTACATCTATAAATTTAATATGAAATTATACTTGTTTGTATGTGTGCCATTTTCTTTCATGGAAATGGTACTTTCGTTACAGAATATTATTCAGGTAATTGTGCTTCACGTTTAGATGCTCACTCTGACTATTAATTGTATATTATCCAGCAGTTTTGTCGCGAGGACGATTTAGAAAGTTGTAACAGGTTGCCTACGGCGGCTTGGGAGGAAAGTTGGCGGCACGTTATAGAAAAATAAAGACCTGTTGCAAAATCCACCGCACATTTTTCCCCATCGTCGCCGTGAGAGAACCTCCTCCGATCCCCGGTAGAGAATCTCCTCTTCTCTTTCGCGAATCATAATTCACTGTTCAAAAGTCTCCTTTCACCCTCGACAGAGATTCATTCCGAAGAAACTTTTACTTACTAGATATCCAATACGAGAAACAATCTTTTCTTACAACATTCTCTTTCGCTAATGCTATTCGTTTCCCTGATGATGAGATTAATTTAAACGATGAACACCTTGATCACGATTTCATTGTTTTTTTTTTTTTTCTATAATCGAATTTTATACGTTTTTCAAGAAATAAAATTGATTTTTCTTCCACTGTTCAGAAATTACAAGTATGAGGACGATATGGCTGATGTTAATTCTCGTCGCTGTTGTGGCCAACGCTCAACGACGGCTTGCCCTTCCTGACCCACGTAGTTGCGCAAACCGTGCGTATTTTTTTGACATTTTTAAAAAAATAAGATATCAAATGATTATTTTTTTTTTAATCCTGTTCCAGGCGTACGGCACGCTACTTATAGGGACGCTAGAGGAGTTGCACACTCATACTTCTTCAGTTGGGAGCACCAACCTACTAGAAGTCTTGAGGTAGACTGGTTAGATTCTCGTAACATCTGTCGTAGGCACTGTATGGACGCAGTCTCCCTTGAAACGCCGCAAGAAAATGAATTTATCAAACAAAGATTAGCTCGAGGTGCACTATAATATAAAATCTTATTAATCTTAAGTTTATTCAATTAATTTAATTTTTTAATTTTTTTTTTCTTAGGAAATGTGAGGTTTATCTGGACATCTGGACGCAAATGCAACTTCAATGGCTGTGACAGACCAGACCTTCAACCGCAGAATATTAATGGATGGTTTTGGTCTGGTTCTGGAGCTAAGATTGGTCCTACTACGCAACGTAATACTGGTGACTGGAGCAACACTGGTGGATATGGACAACCACAACCTGACAACCGTGAGGCTGCTCAGGTAATTCTATTTTCCTTGGTATATTTTTCTATATTTTTTTTTCATTTTGTCTTTGTTTCTAATATACGCATTATTTGTGTTACAGGGTAACGATGAATCCTGCTTGTCGATTCTGAACAACTTCTACAACGATGGTGTTAAATGGCACGACGTAGCCTGCCATCATCGAAAGCCGTTTGTCTGCGAAGACAGTGACGAGCTTTTGAACTTCGTGCTTTCCAGAAATCCTGGCATTCGCCTTTAAGTTTCCAGTTTACAGCTTCTATTGATTCTTGAATGTTCAGTACCTAAGATCGTTCGATCCAACGACAGTAGTTCGAGCGAACGCTTTTCTGTGCAATTTCTGATTCATGTATCATAATGTACTCAGTATAATTAAATTCTAAATTAAATATTTTCATTCATTCTCAATTGTACGAATCAATTGTATGAATCTACATCCTTAAATTTGCTGAGAAATTATCAAGCAGTATTAAATATTGAACAGTCAGGATTATATTAGTGTTTCCGTATCAAATAGAAGCTGCCCATGTAATTTTAACTTTTGTACCCCTTTTCTATAGAAAATAAAAAGCATTTGTCGATACTTTTGGAATGTATGTTTCTTTTACTAAACTTTAAAGAGTGACACAGCTCTGAATTTTTAAAAAACCTTTATTTTATCCCTTAGTACCTCATAGTTTACACCTTTAAAGCATATTTCCTTGGAGGGAAGGCAGATCGTTTGCGAATTTCTTTCTGAGTTTTTTTCTTGGCTTGGAAAGGAGTCAATGCCCTTCTCAGTGCTCTAGTTTTTTTTGGCCTCAAATCCAAAGGCTTGTACTTGTGGTTTTTGTACAACAGACGCAAGTTTTCCTTTTGTTTCTGGTGCATTACAATGTATACCCTAGCTATTGCCTTCCTTACCACACGGCTGCAATACATACAAAACTTATAAATTTACATAAACAGAAGCATATTTATTACCGTACAGTACACTCTAATAATTAAAAAACACTGAATAATGGTTTTTAAATGTTAATTTAAACACAAAGATTCTTGTTTTATAAAAACAACTAGAAGTGTACATTTAATAAATTGAAGAATCTTCATACTTCATACTAATTCTACTTTATGAATATAA